TGCTGATAATCAAATTAAGATACTTCTGGAGCACCCTCACAACCCAATTCTTAATCCATTCTTGGATACCTGAAAAGGAAGAGATAAAGCCTATAAGAATAGGCTGTCATCCGACTATTCATAATAGATGATATCGATGGAGCCTATGTCTGCTTTGCCTGTAAACACAATGTACCACCCATGCAAAAGAACCTCAAACAAAAAAGAACCATGAAAATGATTTTGAACTCAAGAAACTGTAAGACTTACCCTGACGAGATCATGAAGGAAGGTTTTTACACTGTCTGCCATCTCTACCGCAGCATCCCCTCCAATTCCAAAAATATCAACTACAGGGAGAAGGGAAGAGAAGAACCAAAATTGCTCTCATTGCGGAGAAGTAGGAGATCGACAGAACCTGACAGAGAGGGAAAAAAACATTACCAGGGCTAATGTTAACAAAGATTTCCCAGTTTACACAGCTGTACGCAAAACAGAATTTAAAGTTAAACAGCAAAACAGAGGGTAATATTTGCCCTCGCTACTGGGGCATTTAACACTTTTGCAGATGCATCGACAATGAAAGAGTGGATACAGGGCCTCTAACATTTTAAAGATTGTAATATTCTGACTTAAAAGCTAATGAAATAAGTTTCCAGAGTACCTCCAGCCTTTGAGGAAGCCATATACCCTAAACAAGCTCCCTCTGATATAAAGCATAGCTACCCTCTGGTTAGTAGCACAGATCACCATGAGCACATCACCCTAATATTTTGTTCTCTGCTGTGAATCACCATCAAATACACACTCCAATTCAAAAACTCTACCCCAGTACATGAAACTCTCCGTGGGGCTGGCCTCTTTCTTACTGAGCAAATTATTTTTGTCTGGAAAGTAAGGATGTGAAAGGTTAAATGTTTAAATGAAAAGTATATTTATACTGGTAATGCATTACTGGTTAACATTTAGCATAGTATGCAGTCTGGCAGGGAAGGGAAGCAATGCAGAGGAAAGCAGCAGGGCAGGCAGGGAGAAGCGAGAAGCCGGGGAGGGGAGGGGGAACAGGGACTAGTACACATAGCTAGTCTGCTCCTTCCTTCCCAGCCCCGCAGTGACTGCAGTGGGCTGGGAAAGCTCCCCCGTGGTTTCATGTAGGCTGTTGTCTGGTGGAGTTTGCTGCCACTGCCTCCCCCACCCTGGAAGTGGCTCTTAGCAGCAGCAGCAGCTGTCTCCCACCAGGTCTGTATGCAGCCCTTGGCTCCCTGCACTATGCCAGGCAGGTGGCTGCGGTCCCTCCCCAGAAGCAGGGCAGCATGGGGCAGCCTGGGATGCCACACCTCCACCCCAGCTGGGACTAGGTACGTATTATCAGTTAACCATTAACCGATCTAATTAGAGGAGATTGAGCAAATACATTTTTTTTATCAATATTTACATCCCTACTGGAAAGCTCTTGTCCACCAGAACAAATTACTGTCAACCAACAGGGGAAATCTACTGAGCTGGAAGGATAACGTATCACTAAAGCTGGACCTAGGCAAGGATATTCGTTTCCACAAGAGAGAATGATTGTGGGCTTCTCCACATGCAGAACTGAACAGAAACATCCAAATTGGCAAGAAAAAAAGTTATGTGAAAATCAACAATCCTTGGCCAAGAATCTATATACAGTGTAAATGACAGTATTTATGCGAGGGTGAAGAGTAAAACAGGACGACAAAACCCAAGTCAGAGAAAAGGATGCATTTGACAAGAGTTCAGTTGAGGACCATGGACTATTTTCCAATATTTTTTAAGTCTAAGTTTCTCCTTGTAACCCGGGTTGACAACCCCTGGTATAAGTAGCCCCACGGGTACTTAGACAGGTGGGAACGGAGTGTGTACCGGGTGGGGCACGCCAGCAACGTCTCCCCTGGTGCGTTCCCACATTTCTCCTCTTACCCAGGGGCATGGGAGGGATGTGCTGGGGACACCACGGCGCCACACTGCACACCACGGCCCACCCCCCACTTCAGCTCACTCTCCTGACTGTCCAGGAGGCAGGGTCAGCCCAAGAGCAGCAGCCTGCCCTCCTCCCCCCATCCATACAGCAAACCCCAGTCCCCTAACGCCACAGGTGCAGAGCCACCCCAGGAGCGGGGCAGGTGGGGAGAGGGCCAGACTGCAGCGCTGTGTGGGCCCGGGGCTGGCCAGAAGAGGGTGTGGCTATGGGAGTCGGGAGATGCACTGGGCGCTCCGCTGTCCCCCCCCCACCTTATTAAAAGGAAGCGTTTCATTGGGGGGGCTGGGCCGGGCCCATCTGGCAGCTCCGGGCCCTGCAGAAAGCCGGGATGCGTCTTAACCCTGCCAGAGGCTGTCCCCAGCAGCACAGCTGTGTGCCGGCCTGGCAGTGAGTGCCCCATGGCCCTGGCCCCAGAGGGGTGGGCAGGCAGCAGCAAAGGCGCAGTTCCTCAGCCGGGCTCTGGAGGCGCCCCAGCTAGAGTGCAGCATCGGTGTCCAGCAGCACCCATGTCCACAGCCCAGCCCAGCCACACCATGGGCGCGGGGCACAGCCCGGACCAGGGCAGAGCCACGCTGTCCCTCAGGGGCCGAGGCGCTCACTGACTTTCTTCCTCTCGCACTTGAGCAACTTCTTTCTTTGCTGCCGAGCCCCGCTCGTCCCTCACTCCCAGGCCCGCAAAGCCTCCGCCTAAGGCCGCGTGGTCAGGACCCCATGGGGACCTCCTGGGACCCGCTGTGGCGGGTGGGTCGGTAGCCAGGCAGCCCCTGCCAGATGTGACACAGGATGCCATTCAGTCCTGTCTGACATGTGCAGCCGGCTGCATCTAGGGGCAACCAGGGGCGCTGCAGCATTATTACCCCAGCCCAGCAAACAACGGCTGCAGCTGGCTCCCCTCGCACCATGAAGGCCCATGTGGCTGCCTCACACTGAGGGGGCTCTGTGTGCTCCTGCTGGTAATATTAAAAACAAGAACAAAATATAAAGGGGTACATAAGCTGAAACTTTGAGACAGAAGGGGTTGTTTAAAAAGGTTGAAAACCCCTGCCTTATACCACTTCCAAGGGTCCTTTCCCCAAAGAGACCTAATCTAGCTCACATTTTAAAAAATCCAGGTACTATAGGAGGTAAAGTGCAAGCCACAAATGACAGAGTGGTAAAGTGCTAGTCTGCATTATGGATTTGTGAAGTGGTGTATAGGGAGGCAGATACAGGGGAATAAAGCCTAACACAGATATGCTGCACCAATAACAAAAGGGGCTCGTACCCACAAGATATGCCCTGACTTTAGGGTACATTGTAACTTATATTATGGACTACTGAAGAAAAGTGAAGCTGAAGACATAAATCCAGACCAAACTGTACCATGAGAGTACCATACAAACAAGCAGGGAGCTGTGCGAACCTGTGAGAATTAAGCAGCCTATGCCCTCGCAGGCAAGCCCGTGTCCTAGGTTCACACTTTTTTTAAAAAACAGGGAGAGCTTGACTTGCCACCGGACAAGCCATTCATGCATCTCTGGTCTTAATATTACACCCCATCACAGCAGCTTCAACATTTTAGTTGAGGTACATGGTGACTCTTTTAAAACAGATTTATCTTGTGGGATAGTTAAAGAATGATTAATAAGAATGGTGACATTTTGACCAAAAAAACCCTTGGTGACAAATCTTAGTGTTAAATAGTTGAAGGGATCTAGTACTGGAATTAAAGCTTCTGGGCAGAAACAAAACCCACTGCTGAGGAACCAATACTGCATTTTCCTCTTCAGCATGCACAGTCCAAAACAGCAACTCTGAAGTCTAGCAGCAAGCAATTAAACATCAAGTAACTGATGATCAACTGAACTCAGAATATTAAAACACTGAAACTATAAGTGGAATACGAGTACGACGACCACCGATCTCCAGAAGCATGACCTCTACTTGAGACAGATAGTAAACTCCTTGTAACAGTGTCTCCTTGGAACTGAAAACATTGAAAGCAACTAAGTAACACTTCATCAACACTAAACAGTTTTTACTTTTCCATCCCTGCAGGACCACCAAGATGTACAGCCATAGAAGTGAACCCCTCTCGCAATCCTACAGTCTCGAGGGGTGCGTACAGAATTTTAGGAGCAGTCTCAACAAACAGCAGTCCTCGACCAACACACTGCCATCAGTCAAGTGATCCAAACCCTGCCTTCTCTCACAACATGCAGGTTTATCCATAGCAGACAAATCACAGACCCTGGATGCATCAATCCAAAAGTGTTATTGCAACAGCAGTCTGAAGGTGTCTTATGTAGCTAGCATTAAGCTACCTAGCTGGAGAACAGTCTAACCACAGAAGCATGGACTTCAGTGTGCCCTGCAGAGACTGGGATAAATAACTGGAAGCTGAAGCTTGTGCTGCTGCAGCTGCGCTACTGCTGGTGCCTGAGCTAGCAGGTTTGAACCTAGCTTAGGTGAGCTTATGTGAACTGTAATCACACTTTTGGATGACGGCATAAACATTCTTACTGCAGTGAATGAAGCAACGATGATGGTGATGATGATGATGATGATATTGTGTCCATATTTCTGAGTGCCAAAACTCAGCAACTAAAAACTCTAACAAGAGTAGAAGGTGAAAAAGCAGGTGACGACTAGGCCATAATACGGAGTGAGGTTTCAGAGAGGGTATACCAGACCCCAAGTAATGATAACAGATGTCTGATAGTATAAACACTTAACCAAACACAGATCTGAAAAAATACTGTGTATGCAAAATAGTGTCATTACAGATCTGGGAGTCTGTCAGCTCAGCATAAAGCAAGAGATCTCAGCAGAGGCTAAAGGACAATTATGAAATATATAAGGACAATTCATGCAGTGGCTGGGAAATCAAACTATACACTCTCTCTCCCTCTAATGAAATACACAAGCTAAAAAGTGACAATATGACAAATGCACACCTTTTACTCCAAAAATATACTGTATCCTAAATAGTTAGCCTCTGTCCCACTCAGCAATTTTAACAGCACAGGTAAAAAGGAAGCATGCTGGATTTCTGACCTGTCAAAAAAAAGTCTATGTTATATATGGTTTTACAACAAGCTTCCAAGCAAAATGTGTCATCAGTATTAGGAGTCTGAGTAAGCCATCTCTGCCTCCAGCTGGAGGCTCAGTATAACGATCCACAGGTGACTACATGCAAGACTCCACAGAAGCAGATTTATCATAAACTCATAAAAGCTGACATCATAACTGTGTTTTAAATACTCAAAATATTTTCTTTTATGTCATAGGCTGTTTGTAGCACATGAAAAAACCAGTGTGGCCCAACAGCTATGGCAATGAATTGAGAGTCAGGGCCCTATTCCATTCCCAACTTTGTCACCAACTTGGTGCATAACCCAGGATAAAATTCTTCACAACTGTCTGTCTCAGTTTCCTTGTGTGTAACATGTTAATGCAGGGGTTAGCAAAATACAGCCCACTTTGGTCCGGCCCCCAGTGGGTCCTTTGGCCCCGCTAGGTGGCACTGGGGCACCTGTCTTGTGCCAGCCCGCAGCTCATCTTAAGATGCCTTGCCAACTCGGCATGGGACAGAGAAGCGTAGGATGCAACAGTGCAGGGTAGCAGCAATGGCAGGAGTCCTGGTGAAGGTGCTGCATCCAGGGCCAGGGAACCACGCGTGGCCAGGTAGGGAGCTGCATCTGGGGCTAGGGGTCAGTCTCCACAGAGAATGGTCCCCCGCCCTGGACGCAGCACCCTCACTGGGACTTCTGCTACTGCCTCCTCACCGCTCTGCACCACTCTGCCCTACACCTAGGTAGCAGGGTTGGAGGCTGCCACCACCCACCTGAGGGCTGCATGCCCAAGGCCAGGAGAGGGGACAGGCAAGGGGAGGGAAGCTGAGTTCCTCCAGAGCCTTCGAGTCTCCTCTGCAGGACTTGTAACCCTCCTTTCCCCTTCATGGATGCTGTGGCTCCCCAACAAGGCCTAGTGGTGGCTTCCAGCTCTGGCCCAGGCCCATGCTGTCACTGGCCCAAGATCCCGGCCCCAGACACAGACACTGCCCCAAGATCCCGGCCCCAGCTCTGGGGAGCCATGTGGGCAGGGAGCTACATCTGGGGCTGGGATCATGGAGCCCTGACAGCCACACAGAAACTGTGCCTGTTGCAGGGGCGTGCGGGCAGTGGATCGTGGCTCTGACCTGGCCCTGCGCTGTCATTGCCCCCCCCCCTGCCCCGTGATCCCAGCCTCGCCTGTCCCTCCCGCTCCTGGACACGCCGCCCAGGGCTGCAGCCCACACAGGGAGTTCTGGTGAGTTGTTGTGTGGCGGGCGGCGATGCTTACTTGGCCTGCAACAGCTCACCCAAACAGCCTATGCGACTCCTGGGCCCAACTAATTGTCCAGCCCTGAGCTAATGACCCCTTCCTTCAAGAGCTGCAAGCACTACAAATGAAAAACACAACACTAAGTCGAGCTCCACGTAGGGTCTAACGACTCCTGTGCTAACATCACTAGTTGCACCGAATATTCCTGTGCCACCGTCAAGCTGGGAGCCTTGCGTTTCTCTTAGGGCAGGGGTTGTCAACCAGGGGTACGCATACCCCGGGGGTCCTCTGGAAAGCCCCAGGGCTACGTGGCCAGCGCTGAGAAGCCGCTGGCACGTCCGGTTTTGCTGGCGTGCGGGGGACCCCCCACTGCTTGTCCGGCCGCGGGGGCCCACCGACCGGGAAAGGGTGAAAACCCGTCTCAGAGCATTCAATAGGTCTTGGTCCAGCAAACTAACTTGGACCAGACTGTCCCACACGTCAACCCGCTGCAGCGATGCCATCTCCCTGGACAAGCTGCCGCCTGGCTCAGACTAGCATCCCCGGGCTGGAGCAGCGCCCGGCAGTGACCCCGCGCGGG